TTCTAACGGTCATTTTGTTTCCTTACCTTAAGCGGCTGCATTTCAACAAGGAAAGATCCCACCCGCTCCGTTCTCTGCTCCTCCGCCTGCAGGGGCCATGATCCCGCCTCCCCCCAGTCTCCGTAAGTGTCAGAGGTGTCATGTCAAGGTGTGCGCCTGCTCACATTGTCAGCTCCCAGATCTCAGTGACTGACTAGGTAGTCACTAATCGAAAATCACAACTGTAACCGAACCATTTCCTCTGTTGTGTGATTGTAAAAAGAACATGCTTTATCGTTTGTGTTTTTGTTTTTTGATTTTTCAAGACAGGGTTTCTCTGTAGCCCTGGCTGTCCTGGAACTTGTCTGTAGGCCAGGCTGGCCTAGAATTCACAGAGATATGCCCACCTCTGCCTCCCAAATGGGACTAAAGGTGTGTGCCACCATGCCCATAGTGTGTGTGTGTGTGTGTATGATGTGTACATATATACGTATTGTGTGTACATGTGTACAGGTACATACTGTGCTATGTGGAATTCAGAGGACACTTGGAGGACTGAGTTCTCTCCTACTGCATTGTGGGTCTGATGGGTGGAGCACAGGTTGTCAGGGTAGGCATCTAATGTCCTCCTTACCCACTGAGACATCCTGCTGGCCTTTCATTTTCTAGACTCACTGGGATCTTGGCCTTGAGACTCCGTGGATAGGCAGGCCAGTGAGCCCCAGGGGTCCGATTGTGTTTACTTCCTCAGTACTGGAATTGCAGCTTCTTGCCACTCTCCTCGAGTTATCTTGGGAACTGAAACTACAGACTAAGTTATCTCCCCAGCTTTTAGTTGTAGACATTCTAAAACAGTTTTGGGGGCTTTTCGTTTATTTTCTTTTTATTTTTCAAGACAGAATTTCTCTGTGTAGCCTTGGCTGACCTGGACCTCTCTCTGTAGAATAGGCTGGCCTTGAACTCAGAGATCTGCCTGCCTCTGCCTCCGCCTCCCAAGTGCTGGGACTGAAGGTTCATGCATAACTATACTAGGGTGGCAACGTCTTAATGTATAGCATAGGCTGCTGTGAAATTCAGTAGTCTTTTTGTCCTAGCCTCCCAAGGGCCGGGGTTGTCACAGTGCTTGCCTTAGGGCTAATGCTGAGTGTCAGTGTTTTTTCTGTGACTTCCAAGGTACAGAGGGCTCAGAAGGAACCTGTGAGATAAACAAATCATGAGTAGATATAATTCAACAAATTAGGCTCTTCATTGTCTTTTCCCAATTTTTAAGCTACCTAACCTTATGAAAGGTAAGAGTTGGATAGCAAACCGTGGAGTGCATCGTGAGCATCTGTTCTCTGGGAAGGCCTGCCCTTGTAGTGGACAGGCGTGTATCTGTACAAGGTCATCATCCTTTTGCTTCCCTGGGAGAGACTGAGAGACCCAAGCTAAGTCTTGTGATGGTGGGTGTGAACAAAGAACAGGGCTTCTTGACAAGCCGCTCCCTGACGTCCGTCAGACCCTCTGGGGGCCGCTTGTGCCTCTGCTTTTTCCCCTCTCCGTTTCAGTGTCTCAGGCTAGCCCAGATCCTCTTATGTAGTACATCCCTATCCCAAACAGCAACAAAACCAAACACGTTTTGGAGAATTTTAAGTTTTATTTGGTTTTATGTGTGTTTTGCCCTCATATGTGAGTGTGCTGTGTGTGTGCCTGGTGCCAGGAGGTGGCATGAGATCCTGGAACTAGGTGCCAGGCAGTGGTGGCGTACGCCTTTAGTCCCTTCCCCTGGGGAGGCAGAGGCTGGTGGATCTCTGAGTTCAAGGCCAGCCTGGTCTACAGGGCAAGTCCAGGACAGCCAAGGGTACATGGAGAAGCCTTGATTTGAAAAACCAAAAGAGTCCCCTGGAGCTTTAGTTAGATAGTTATGAGCTGCCATGTGGGTTCTGAGAATTGAACCCAGAACCTCTGGCAGAGTCCCAGTGCTCTTAACCACTGAGCCAGTATTCTAACCCCTGGTATTTTTGTTTGTTTTTTCAAGATGATTTTTTGATTTCACACTAGTAAATGTCCTGGAGATTGAGCCCAGGGGCCTTATACAAGCTAAGCCCATGCCCTACCACTGTCTGTGTACTGAGCCCATGCCCTACCACTGTCTGTGTACTGAGCCCGTGCCCTACCACTGAGCTGTGTACTGAGCCCAGAATGTTTTCACATCCAAGGACTCTCATTTTATGTTTTTGTCTACCCAGTTTTGTTATTTCTTTTATGTTTCTTTTCTTTATTAGAGACAGGGTTTCCTCTGTGTAGTGATGGCTGTCTTGGATCTCATGACATGTTATAGTTGTGAATCTACTGTTAGAATAAGAAGCTGTAGGAAGTTTATTATTTAAGTGTTTGATCCAGTTGTGAGCCTCTTAGTTTCACTGAGGAACATGTCAGCCTGTAAAATCTCTAACCGCAGCTTCCTTGTGTATTTTAGCGGGTCCTCCTCGGCCTGGCATGATGCCTGCACCCCACATGGGAGGCCCTCCCATGATGCCAATGATGGGCCCCCCTCCTCCTGGGATGATGCCTGTGGGACCAGGTGAGTCGGAATGTGTCACAGTTTAGTGTGCAGTATTAGTTCAGGGGCAGTTTTCGTTTGCTGTCTAGAGTCATTATGCTAAGTAGTGTAACATTGAATTTCATCAATTTAATGATAAAGGTTTGGTTTCTGATACTGACAGCAGCATGAGGCTACCTCCTCTCCCGCCCTTCCTTCCCTTCTGTTTCCTTCCTTTGCCTACTTATGAT